TAGTAGAAGCTCACAAAATATGACCACGAACGATCGCATGACAATTAGAGGGTGATTCACATGGGACCCTGCTCAGATTCAGTTCAAATTCTTTCAAATGTTGGTCATCTTAATGTAGTTCACATGGGCCGAGGTATAAGTAAAATGAAAGAAAATAAAAAATTCCTAGGGACTCCTACTTGCCTGGTCAGAAAAATAAATAAAAAATCAATGTTACTACAAAGCCAAAGATAGAATCTCAAAAAGAGGATAAACGGTTGTGTGGAAATTATAGAACAAAACCATATGAGCATTCATACTTCTTACCTATAATCGGAAGTCTTGTTTTGTGCCTTGCGCTTTCTTCCTTTCATGTGAGAGCATTCATAGTACGATTTTCCGAGTAATTCAAGAAGAAACATGGAATATTGAGACGTATCTGACTCGCTAAAACACAACACCAAACTATGACCAAGTGCAATCGTAGGATGGAATTGCAGGATAGTGGTTCAGTTTTAATATCAACCCTGGGTCTTGATCTACTGCCTACTCAATAAACTTCTATTATCTAGCAACCTAAGTGTAGTGAGTTGTTCAAATGCAAATCAAACTAAAAGCAGAAAGTGTTTTGGTTTTTAAAGTATGCTAGAGGTCATCCAGGTATGATTCCCCCTAGTATGCAGCTAGTTCATATTATATGTTCTCAATTAACTCTGATTGATAGATATACTGCGGAAAGTTTTTTACTAGTCTGGAATCTCGACTAAAGTAATCCAGACCCTCTCGGTTCGAATACCCGGCGGGCGACTAACCTCCAGCGGCATAAACTAACCAAGGTAATAACACGGGCTAAGATCAGGTGACGAAGGGGGGTCCCTTAGTCACATGACTAATCCAATCTCAGCCATTGAAGCTCATTAAAATCTAATGGTTCATATTTATCTAGTTTAATGAAGGTTAATGTGGTAATTACCTTATTTATTTATTTAACAATTAAATTACAAAAATAAAAAAGATTGTTGCCCCCTCCGCCCTCCCCGCCTGCGGCCACCAATCCTGGGAGGATTTTGTGTTCCAAAAGTAGTTTTCTTTCCCCAACACCTACGAGAGAGAGAGAGAGAGAGAGAGAGAGAGAGAGAGAGAGGGAGAGAGAGAGAGAGAGAGAGAGAGAGAGAGAGATTTGCTGAACATAAGAAATTTTCCAGCGACCAACGAAGGTGGAAAAGGATTTCTCGGCGATAGTGTTGGATTTGTGATGTTTGTTGAGCTATTTTGTAATGTTTGTATCGATTCGGTTTGTATAGTTTATCATTCTTGTTTGTCATTTTTTTTAGTGACATTTTGTATGATTAGTATGTTTTGTACTGTTTTTTCGGTTTATTTTGTAATGTTTGTCAGCTTTGTTATTTTGTAATGGTTGTCGGTTTCTTTTGTAATGTTTGTAAGCTTTGTTATTTTTGTGCACCATTTTTATTATTTTTGTCAACCATGTTTATAATGTTTTTTATGTCTAAAAAACAACCTGGTTGACTTTTGGATGAAACTCCTCTATATAGGGATGAAACCTCCAAAGTCAACCCGAGTGTTTTTCCAATTTGTATGTTTTGTTGATCTAGTTTGTCATTTTTGTCCACCATGTTCGTAATGTTTGTATGTCTAAAAAACAATCGGGTTGACTTTGGGAGGGAGCCCCTCTATATAGGGATGGAGCCTCCAAAGTCAGCCTGGTTGTTTTTTTATTTTTGTATGGTTTGTCGGTCTAGTTTGTATTGTTTGTACAGTTCATACGTTTGTAATGTTTGTAAATCTGTTTGTATGTTTTGTCGTTCTAGTTTGTACTGTTTGTATGTTTGTATGATTTGTGCTGATTGTAATTCCGGTTTGCATACTTTGTAATTTTCCATAATACCCAAACTACCTCTGTCATTAAATAAATAGTCATTTCATTGTTGTGTCCATATCTAAGAGCTGGCTGGGAGGGTTTAGTCAAGTGCCTAAGCACCTCCCCCCCCCCCCCCCCCCTCCCCCCGCCTTAGTCACAGGATCTGCACCCGCAATAACACACCAAACTTCCTCTACTGGATTTAATTCTAGTACATAGCAGTGAATCGATTTCTCGACTAAATCAATCGATTCACCATTTCCAATTTAAGATTGCTCTTTTAACCTATCCAGAGACCATCGTTCTAGGTTAAAGTAGGAATCACAAAAGTTTGATCAAGACTCATCCAATTCTGATGAATGACTCAATTGAATATATCGAATCAATCATTCACAAACGGGGTTCATACAACCATTCCTAACATACAAAACGAGGGCTCTTCATACCCAAATGAAAGGGGAGTTTACTTCGTGGAGAGAAGAGGAAACATCCAGCTAGGAGGAGAAATCATCATGGGGACAATGAAAATCTTCTCAAGGTGGCTAATCGGTACTTCGAGAGTGAGGAATCGAGCTCCGAGGGCTTCAAATCGCTCCAGTTCTTGCCCAAGGGTTGTTCTTTGTTACTTTCTCTCTCTAGAGTTCTCTCTCTGCTATTAAGAACTAAAAAAACTGGATTCTTTTCAATTTGCCCGAGGTGCCCTTTTATATGATGGAGATTTGCGAGCTACGGCCGTAACTACCTCTCTCAGCCCGTAACTTCTCCATAAAACATCGACGTCTTTGCACTCCGTAAACCAAGAGTTACTGCTCCTATAGAAAAGTTACAGTTGAGACCGTAACTTTGAGGGGCAAGCCTAACTTCAAAAATGCTCCTGGAACCTTTGGCATCGGTTCCACATAGTTACGGGTGTTGAGGGGAAGTTACGGTCCATACCGTAACTTTGAAGGTTTGGCCGTAACTTTAAACGTGCTTCTGGATTCACGCCTTTGCTTCTCCAAAGTTACGGGCTCATGGGGAAGTTACGGTCCAGACCGTAACTTTCAAGGTCTGGCCGTAACTTTTCCCTGTTTTCTGCTCGTTTGCTCCAAAACGTTCCAAAACTCGCTCATTCGCACCCATTCACGTACTATGACTTGAAACATCATAAACCAACACAACCTAGCGTAAAATAGGCCACGAGAGCGAGAAAGCGAGCTCAAACAATCAAGAAATTATGGGAAAACATGTTCAAATACAGTGTTATCAGTCTCTCGTCATTTGGGACTCGACTCCAATGAAACACATTAAGAGGAGAATTCTAGGGACTTCAAGTTGCACTTTTAATTACATGTTTGCTTGGAGACAAGCAAATTGCAAACTATGTAGGGGTTGATAATACCCAAATTAGTGTTATTTACCTTCCTAGATCTCGATGTTTTAATGTCCATTTGTGCATTAAAGAGTATTTTAAACCCACATTATAGCCTATAATTGATTCCTGGCACATGCATGAGGAAGAATAGAAGGTCTCAGGGTCTCACTCATGGGCCTTCTGCTCTGAGGTCGCAAGAAAGATCACAATCACAATCTTTGGTTCCTTGGTCATTAACATTGGGAGGCTATCACGAGGAAGAACATAAGGTCTCGCGGGCCTTAAGCCCTGAGACTGTGAGAAAGATCACGATAGGGATCTCCAGCCCGTGAACCCCCTTCACGAATAGGGCAAAGCGACGCCGCATTGAGATCGTGTGACAGAATTTGAGTTCGTGGTCGTAACATTCTCCAAATTTTTTATCTCTATAAATAGGAGGAGACCCCATAGGTCTAAGTGAGCTTATTTTCTAGACAAATTTTAGAGGGATATCAAAGAGAGAAGTTAGGGTTTCTCCCTCAAATAAGAAGAAGAAGAAGGAACTTGAAGAAGAGGAGAGTTTGGAGAAGAAGAATTCCAGGAACAAAGAGACTTCATTGTTTTCCTTCCCTCTTACTATATTCTTTTTCCCTTTCATGTGGTAGTAATTTAAGGGAATTGGGGCCTAGCCTCCATATCCTAATTAGGGTATTGTTATACAATTAATTATATATTTTAATTTATGGTGTATTATAGTTTAATTAGCATTCCTAATGCTTTAATACTTTATTTATGTGCATGTGAATGTTGTTTGCAGGTTATATGTCATGTGATGATGATTTCGGGCTTAACATATGTTGAGGTGATCATCCCCTTAGAATGAATAGGGACTTACCTAATTGATGCTTCTTGTATGTCTAAATGATCATTAATTCACTTGATGGTGTGCCTATGGGCTAAACTCATTTGAAGAATATGAGTTATCACTAACCAAGGAACCTGATTACATGATCATTGAGTCAGTATGTGTGGTTAGGAGGGAAGTTGGGAGACATGATCATTGTTCACGCATCTGCGAGCACGCAACCAAGGAAAGTCATAATTTTGGAGTTGGGAGGGCTCAAGAATGATATCTTATCAGCTAGGCACCACCACAACAAGGCATGGGTTGTCTAAGCACACACAAATCCATTGTCCACTCTCCTTCTAGCACGACAACTACAACATTGTGAGCGGAGGCAATGGTCGTTTTCTTTGAGCTTTTCCAGTGAACCTGAGAGGGGGTTCCATAACCAGTGCAGAGTTGGCTGGAGTTGTTCATGGTCTAGAGATTTTTGAAGAAGTGAGGGTTATGAAGGTTGTTCTGCAAACGGATTCACATATGACAAAGTACCTTAGCGCGAGACAGCCACATTGACTCATCCACGATATGCGCCAATGGTCGAGATTAGGAGGCTTATAGTCCGCCCTTGGTAGGTTTGTTTAAAGCATGTATATAGTAAGGGTAACTTTGTAGCGGATTATCTAGTAACTTTAGATTATTCTTTGTCCTTTTAATAGCATGTCTTTGCTAATTCTTGTTACTCCTCGAATTATTGGTTGTTCTTCGATCATATTGTTATTGAAACTAATGTTAATTACTGGATGAAAGCTAACGCACCTTTAAACGCCATGTTCTCGAAAGATGAAAAAAAATCTGAAATATAATAAAATGTCATTAAAGACCAGCTAGACTATAGAATAGAGATAATGTAATGAGGAAATATTCTGTCAATTCACTACTAGAACGCCAGCCAAAGCCGGTCTCTCCCTTTGTCCCTCTCAAACTTTTCCTTCCTTGTATGTAAATACAAAAAAATTCCCGGCAATTCACAATAATTATCCTCCCATTCCACCAAGAAACGAAGCGATCTTTTTATAATTTTAATTTCAATAAATTAGTACTCCTTTTCTTCCCCTGTTTCGTTGTCTCTCTGAAAATTCCTCCCACCATTTCTCCAAAGCCACAACCAAAGAACAGAATCGCCATTAACAAAATCCCACCTCACAGCTCTCTCCCTGTCTCCTTCTGATTACACCCCCACCGCTATACTTTCTGCCTTCTCCCATCATTTCAGAATCGAGCAGTGATCGATTTCAAAAATTTTGCTGGGCTCGTTCGTTCCTTGGTCGTCTTCAATGGCGATGCCGCCTCAAGAGAGATCCAAAACACTTCACAACTTCTCTCTCCCCTGTTTGAAATGGGGAAACCAGAGACACCTGAAGTGCGTCAAGGACCCTCCTCCTCCCGACAATCCTCTTCTCCTGCTTCCCCCTCCGCCGCCGCCTCCGCCACCTCACCACCGCCCGTCTTCCTCCTCCGCTGTGCCCAACGGGTTAATCCAAAGCCGACCCGCGATCGGCAATCCAGTTCAACACAACAACGCCACTTCGTCGCCTGATCTTGGAATCAACGGCGGGGCCGATGATCCCCCTAGCTCCCGGCCATGGAATTTGCGCACCAGACGAGCAGCTTGTAAGGCCCCACTAACGAGACCGGAAGACAACAGAATTAGTAACAATAATGGTAATCAGAAATCGCCCAGGAGAGTTTTCGAGATTGACTCTTCTTCATCGCCTCCGGCGAGGCGGCAGTGTTTGGACCCTACGCCCTCGGTTGCGGTGATCAGGGGAAGACCCAGTAAGTTGCGTGTGCCGTTGTCCAAAGAAGAGATTGAGGAGGATTTCATGGAGATTGCCAGGATTAGACCTCCCAGGAGACCCAAGAAGCGGCCCAGAATTGTTCAGAAGTATTTGGATGTAAGCCACACAATTTCCGTTCTCCCTCTTCTTCTGTTCTTCTTCAATGGTGTTCAAAGTTAGCTTCCTTTTGCGCCATTTCTGGGTTTTTCAATCCCATTACGAATGTTCCTAATTGGATTCCGGTTTGCTGTTCTGTTGCAGGTAATTTTTCCGGGACTGTGGCTAACAGAAGTAACTGCGGATCTATACAAAGTTCCTGAAGTACCTGAATCATGAGGCCATATATATATATATATATATGTATTTTTATCATAGATTGATTGGTTGGTGAATGTAATTTGACTGCAATTTCAATTTGATGTGGTCTTGATGGTGACTTCTCTTGTGTTGCTGCATCAATTGGGGTTGCAGGGTCAATAAACATTTTGGGGCTCAGGGAAAAGATTTCGTGATAATATGTGGTGTTACTGACCATGCTGATTGCTGCATCTTGTCAACTCAATACCGGCGAAAGAAAATGCAGCATCAAACTACCTTGTAAATGTTTTGATTGTCGCTGCAATAATAAGTCTGGTCAAATTTGTGTTGTTGCCCTTTCTCTTTCAGATTCTAACTAATCTAGCAGCAATCTGGGTCGTTGAAAAGTTTCTTGCTTTTATGTAATGAGAGCCAATCAAATGTCTGGTTTCATTGCCTTCTTCTGATGGGAAACTAAACCTGGAAATCAAGAGCTCCGTATTGATGTTTTGTTTGCTGCTGTTCTTAGCATATTAGGCAGGGTCATAAGAAGGAACACAAACACATTTAGCTATCCACAGTAGCTAGAGGGGTAACATCAAACTGCAGCTGCAAACTTGGAGGACCAACTGTGTCCATCCATCCTAATCTGCATTTTCTGCAGTGTTGTTAAGGTGCTCACCGTCGTTGTGAGCATCCCTGGACCTGATCTCAACCATTTGCTGCAACCTTGTGTTGAAGATCAGTCTTCAGCTATTGGTGGTAGTGTTGAACCTTGACATTGAATAGCTGTCTTGGTTCTTGTTGTCAACAACTCAACAGAAGCCTATGCTGCAAATTTTAGTTGATGGATCTAATTTTTTTGAACCAGCTACTCGTTTGTGTTGTAAACTCCAAAAATATGCATCTGGTGTGCTGTTCCCCTCAAAAGTTCTATCAATCAAGGAAGGAAGAAGCTACAAATTCTAAAATGGAGGTGGGTTTTTCTCCTTGGCAACATTACAGAAGGGAGGGTTTCTATCTGTTTGGGATTTTTTTTTTGTGTTCATATTGAGTATTCAGCTTTTCTTTTGTTGCCAAACAAGTATCCTTCCATATCACTGCGAGTGCGATATATCAACACATATGAATATGATATCATTTGAACAGGAAGATAAAATATGTCATCAGCTAATGAACGGTGACTTGTCAAAAAACAAAAAAAGTGGGAGTTTTCGGGCCGAATTCAGATTTATGTGGGCTTTGCCATGACAATTAAGCTTATTGGGATTTCTACTTGTTGCATAACTTATCCTCTCCGGGCCCGTAGGCACCGTTTGGTTTTTTTTTTTTTTTTTGAGAAGCTTTGCCAATATATGTTAGGCTTTGCCGAAGGAGTTACTTCGTAATTTGAATGCACATATGCCGCGATTTTGGTGGGGAGCTTTCCAAGGGCGTATATATTTGATTGCTTGGAAAATCCTTTGTGCTAGTAAACTTGAAGGGGTTTTAGGATACAAAGAATTTGGATGCTTTAATTAAGTCTTGTTGGCCAATGTAGCTTGGCCAATTTTGATAATCCAGACGTCTTTGCTAGCTCAAATCTATCAAGGTAGACACTTCGCAAACAAGATGGATTTTCTTGGATGGGCATACAGGTTCAAATCCTTCTTGGGATGACATAGTGCCATATTTGGGCGGGAAATGTAGGTAAAAAGTGTGTTGGCAGGTGGGAATACCTCCGAGTAGGGCTCCAAATGAGCCAAGCCGCTCGCGAGCAACTCTGCGTTCGAATCGGAAAAAACTCGTTCGACACTCAACTCGTTATTTAACAAGCCGGCTCGCGAGCCAACTCGTTAGTTAACGAGCCAAGCATGAGCTAGACTATGCTCAGTTTGATAAGCTCGCGAGCTAGCTTGATTCGGTGGCTTGTCGAGTTAAGCTCGCGAGCTGCCTTGTTTTGAGCTTGTGGAAGGATGAATTACTCTTTTAAACATGAACATTGTCTTCTAATACAGATGTGCATGAAATTTAGATGTTATTTATAGTTTCTAGTGTTCTTTCTATCATTTAAATTCTTATGTTTATACTTTTTCTAGCAAAAATGATTTTAAATCGAGCTCATCTTGAGCCGAGCTTGTACTCAGCTTGACAAGCTATGTTAATGAGCAATTATCGAGCTTTACCGAGTCGAGCTCGAGCTAGATTATTTTTATTCAAGCCGAGCTCGAGCTCGAGCTGGATTATCAAAATTCGAGTTCGAGCCGAGCTTGAGCTGAAAAATTAATAAACGAGCCGAGCTCAAACTAAGCAAAAACTCGACTCGACTCGGCTCGTTTGCAGCCCTACCTCCGAGTACACAAGTACGATAAGGCCATTCGGTTTAGCACCTTTTGTTGTTGCTTTTATTGTATCTAAGTTTTTCGATTGTGGAATATGGTAGCATTGTGTCACTTCTCTAGTGATGAGTCTATTCATTTAATCAAAGGGGTTTCAGCGCCTAGCAGACAATTCTGGATTGTTTGATCTGGTATTTTGGTCTTGTTGTCTGTTTACAGTAAAGTCGGCGTATCACTTGGCATTTCAACTTCAACGTTAGGCATCTTCCAACTACCGACACTGGTTTATGTTGTCGATATTAATATATATATATAAACGCGAACCACTCTTACTGTTCACTAAGGAGGGTTAACACGTGATAGAAACTAGTATTTAGTTATTTTAATCATTTATCGGATTATTATTAGTTCGGATTATTGGGACTATTTCGGGAATTGGGAAATAAATTATATGTCGGGTAGCAGTAGGGAATTATCCAATTATTATATAAATTACTTGTAAGTGGGATTAGGTCACTAAGCAAGATTAAACCTAAACCTAATTGTTTCATTTTCCTCTCTTCCTTCCTCTGGCCGCCGAGCCCTCCCTCTCCCTTTCCCCTTGGCTGCCGCGGCAGCACTTCCCCTTCCTCTCTTCTTTCTATCACACCCCAAAAGTCATCTCCTCTTTCCATTTCCCCAAATTCCCGGATCAATCCCTAATTGACCGGTAGAGCTCGGACTCGAGTTCTATCAACACGTTGGGCCTAATTATTAGGCTCATGATTTGTGTCCATTGGTTTGGTTTGTTGGGGTTGATCGTCTCCTGTTGGTAGGAATAGTAATAGGTCTGGTCGAGACCGGATAGTGTATATCCATTACTCGATCTAAAATAGTTTGAATTTTATTCATACATATTCACGTACAAGAATCGAGTAGAATATCAAAATCATATCCATACTCGATCGGGTATCACTATTATCTACAAATACTAATTTTTATATTATAACTTCAACCCATCATGTTAACAATTACATATATACTAGCATTACATAAGTGATAAATTACAACAATAAATTATTAAAATAAAGGAAATAAGTGAAAAAATACAATCTCCTTAAAATATTATATATGTATGATAAATGTCAAATTTTTTGAGAAAAATATTGATCATTTGTAAACAAGATACATATGCATTTGTATAATCGAGTGGGTTCGATTATTGAGCCTAATTATTGGGCTCGTGATTTCTGTCCATTGGTTAATTTGGTTTGTTGGGGTTGATCGTCTCCTCTTGGTAGGATTAGCAAAAGGTCTGGTCGAGACTAGATAATGCATATCCATTACCCCATTTATAATAGTTCGGATTTTATTCATACCTATTCCCATACAAGAATCGGGCGGAATATCAAAATCATATCCATACTCGATCGGGTATCACGGTTATCTATGTATACTAATTTTTATATTGTAACTTCAACCAACATGTTAACAATTACACATGTACTGGCATTAAATAAGTGATAAATTACAAAAATAAATTATTAAAATGAATAAAATAAGTTAAAATACAATTTCCTTAAAATATTATATATGTGTGATAAATATAAAAAAAATTAGAAAAATATTGATAATTTGTAAACAGGATACATATGCATTTATATAATCGAGCGGGTTCAATTTGGATTGTGAGAAAATCATGCCTACCCATCCGCAATATACGAGTTAGGTTTTAGCCCATTCCATTAAAAGCTCTTTCGGATTCGGGTTGCCAACCAATCAGGTCAGATTGGTGTGGGTATTAGTGTGTATGGTTATTTTTGTCATCCCTACATGATGGGACTAAAATTTGCGGACTGGTTGGTCATCGACATCCCTTTCATCATTCGCCTTCCGTCTATTGTTCTCCCTGGAAAAGCATCCCAATTTATTTTTCTCGTCAAGCATCTCGCATTGGCGATGTCCAAAACATAGATTGGCGGTGCAATAAAGAATAGAAACATAAAGCATAACGGAAATTGTTAATTTGTTTTCCCGGTGGTATTTAGTTTGGTAGAGAGAAAATAATCACCTAAAATAAAATAGCAGGAATGAGAGAGATGAGCAACCAAAGAAAATTTGAAAGGAAAGAACAAACAACTATTATTTCAAATACTCACAGCGAAAAGAATCAAATATCAAACGAATAACCATAACAACACAATAGGTGACCATTTTGCGGCAAAACATGATTCTAGCCTAATTTCCTATGAAAATGGAAAGTGTCGCCACAAAATTAAGCTCTTAATGGGTTGCACCAAAATCATCCAATAAAAAGTGAATAAGTCGTGAAATTTCAATTTTCCTCAATTAATTCTCACTACGACGGCCTGAATTTGACCATGGTTGAGTTTGTTTCTTGAACAACATCGCATTTTGGGATACAGCCAAACTACATAATTTTCCATTCTATTGTTGGTCATTAAGATTAATTCAACAGTGCAACTTTGGTCACTATCCGTTAATCTCTGTTATCTTTATCCTATGTAGCGGCCACCACTTATAGTTAACCATTAAATGAGTGACATGACAATTAATAAAAGATAAATTCAAACTTTTATAATTTCCAATTCATTTTTACACACATTAAAAAAGTTAAAATTAATTTCCTATTAATCCTTAAATAGAGAGGCGCCTCTGTCCCCCTCCGGCTGCCACTCTTCTTCCGCCACGTCATGTGCATCATGACCGTTAAATAATAGATAAAATTTTGATGATATTGATATGGGTTAATGACATAAATATTGTTTTTTTTAATTTACCACCAATATGGCGGTTTAAAAATAATTTACACAGATATTGTGTTTTTTTGTAGGGAAACAGCGAGCCCGCCCGAGACTCAGGCGCTGGTGCATTTGAATTTTTTTAAACGAGTCAAAGGCACGAGCGCCTGAGACTCAGGCGGCCTCGCAATCTCTCTTTTCTTATCTTCTTCTCCACCACTCACTCTCGCCCGAGAGAAAGAAGACACCCGCAGCAACAACAGTCGAGCTTCGCCACACGTCCAGTCCGAGACGGTCGCGCCAAAGAAAACGATAGCCACGCCTCAGACTGAGGCGGCCGCGCCATCTTCCCGGTGAAGGCGCCTTGTCCAGAATGAGCC